CTCTGGGTCAATCGGTAATAATGTGCCTTCTAGCGTACCTGAGGTGGATTGAAAATGAATTTCAAACTAGAATTTCATTCCATGGTTTTCCCCGCGTCCGCGTCCACCCGCCCATTTCATTGTCTATCATTGAATGTATCAGATAGAAATGACGTAAGCTGCATATTTCCAATCTTGCCAGTTAATGTTGCGCGGTCTTAAAAGAATTTGGCTTAAATTTGTTTTCGACTGGCTTCATAAAGAGAAGTGTAGTGAAATGAAGATTCTACCATAATCTAGCAAGACAAGAACATCTTCTATCTGAAGTATCAGTTCATCATCATTTATGACTTTTTACGTGTTTGAGCTTAACAAATTTTTTACTCAAATGACACAATGGTCTTTTCTGATATGATATTCAAGATCATGACCGACTGGGTTTCCACTGCCCAATACATCGCGCATCATAGTAAGATGAAGCGTATTTATTGTTTTAAAGCAACTTTTTACACTTAATTAATAAAATTTAACAAAATTATGAAATTACAGGTTGAAAAAATTATTAAATATAAGCTCTTGAAACTTAAAACATAGAAATTTTAGATTCTCTCAATCATTTTCATAATTTTTAAATAAATTCTTTGTATCTAACATATTTAGTAGTTCTCAGTTAAAACAGGAAAATTTCATTAATTTTGACATTTTGCGATTCCCCCTTCCGGAATCAAGTAGGTAGACGTTTGTGTTTCTTACATATAATGTGCAATATAGCATTACTTATATATTATAAATTGAGGAAAAAGTTTGGTTTGAAGTGCGAAAAATTGGCGCTTTCTTATATAATCTTAAATGAACGGTACCTGTATTTTGAGACGGTCCCTGGACGGTAGATTATCCCTAAACTTAGCAGATACACTAAAGTCAATGTAAGTGACATATGATATAAAATTTAAGAGTTTCTCTATTGTAGTTTTCACACAATAAAACCCCAGTCGGCTCCCTTTAGACCAATCAATGTGTATTTTTTTTCTGGGAAAAACGAAAAATTCACAGAAATGAATGGTTATAAAATATATTAATGTATAATAAACTTTTTAAGTATTAAAAGTATTAAAATCATTATTTAAACAACTATATTTTTCTGATTGTCGAAGCAAAAGAATTTACAATTTAAAAAAAATTGTTTGCTTAAATATATTACATACTAGTTCAACTTTATATATTTGAATACCAAAAAATAATAAATAAATAACATTACTGATTGTCGAAGGCATCTTTAAACGGAAAATTTTTATGGACGACGAAAGATAGCTGGGTCAATAAAAATGATTCTTGTGCAATTTCCAGCTCGTCACATTTATTCCGAAGCTCAAATCGAAGTTCAGATGAGTCAGATATAAAAGCATATTTTCCTGTTTCAACCAAAGTAAAGGCGTCATCCATAACTGTGATCTTTGGCATGTCAGACATCATTTCCCATATCCTCTTGTGAAACCCTCCTTTTGCAGACTGAAATAAAAACATTTTCCGTTACAAATTGAACTCAAAAAAAGTTTTCTCAGCAGGACAACAGCAGCAACATCACGGCCAGGAACACGTTAGGTTCCCAGACAGTACCGTTGTCAGAGACATTTAGAGTAAAGCACTAAAAATGGTTCGTTGTCATGAACTTACGGGAGAGGTTATGATAAAATCCGTCCGGTGTCATGACTTGAGATGACAGGTCGTGAGTATTTTTTCATTTTTTAAAACTAAATCGTTAAAACCAATGTCTGAAATTGTAATGGGGAACAGGGCTGACATCCTTTTTGGTTTTGTAAGAATTTCAGCCATTAAAATAAAGTAATAAAAGAAGAGTTTGCGTTGGCGATATAAACCCTGTTGAAGCCACATGTGAATTTGATTCATTTTTACGAGTTGATGGACATCAACTCAGTAATGCTACTGCTTACAATGTTGACCTAATTTTGACCAAAGAACACACCTCGTTTATTCAGTTCCTTCTACGATGAATTGTATCAGATCTTGAGAAACTCTACATAAATAAAAGCGAACATATATATTGAAGACATGTCAATGTTTCTTTTTTTGAAAGGAAATTTATTTTAAGTAAAAACAATAACATTTTCATTGACATCAGACATGCCTTATTGTGTCGTTCCGACAAAAAATAGTGCATTTTAAACCGCCGAAGAATGAAAGTGTATTTCGTCACTTCTCATATTCCTATATGTGCATATATGTCTGTCGATTTTTAAAATTTTCAAACTTATTGCATAAAACATTGGTTAATTTTTCTGTTCGTTGGGATTTATGCAAATGACACATAGGCCTAACATAGAGATCGAACTACTTTTTCATATTCATACGCACCATATGCTACTTTGCTTTGTAAACAAAAACACGCAAAATCGGCAGCACAACAGTGACTTCAAAAGAAATTGACGGGACTGTGGAGGCTTACTAGGAAATTTTTAGAAGGTACGTAAATGTAATTACATGTACATTTAAGTATAGTTGCACGTGTTGCTCTGAAATATAAACTTAGCCAGTAGTTTATCGATAGGACTTTGTATGGTACTGACCGAGTAAACATTAGCGCCACCTTGTTTTTGCGGCTTTAGGGGCCTGATTCTATATAAATTTTTCTTTGTGTTTCTTCCGCAAAAGTAGCTTCCATTGTAGTAATGAGGCAACTGCCTCACTAGAAATATTATTTTCAAGTCTTTGAAAACACACAAAACAGCAGTCGTGCGACAGGACATGCCATTGAAATTTCGACTAGATTTCCACTTTCTTAAGAGAATCGGTCATGTTTTAGTGAAAATCGAATGAATATTTTTCTGCATGCAATGATACGAAACGAAATTATCCAAGATAATATTTCTATTTGTTGTACAGTGAGGTTGCCGTTATCGAATCACTTAGTAAATTTGCTTGGATATTTCGTACCTGAGTTTGAGTTAAATTCATTTTACAACATTGTTTGGTGGTACTATGTTTTACTTATAACATCATATATATTTCCCCAATAACCACTGATTAAATAAAAAAATATCGCTGTACTTGTATGAATGATGTTTTCTCCTTTACCGGATCATTTTCTCCATTACCGAATCACGTGACATAAAGCTGATTATTCTGGTTCGGGACCGTGTAAATTTAAAAATACCCTTATTACGTAACGTTTTACTATGCCTTAAAATATTTCAAACCCCACCCACCACCCAAAAAAGTAGAAAAGCTAGGAATTTTTTGAGTTGTTTGCATCCGACAATTAATGTAAAAACAACAGCAATGAAATCATAGGGAAAACAATTGACTAGTTGATATAAGAGGACGTAAAAACTTATATACGTGCATGATGAACTGCAAACAGCCGAAGAATTAATTTTTGATTCAAAAATTGTACTCATTGAGCTACCACACCCCCTCCCCATAATTTTGTCGCTATTTAGATAGAAAATAGATCGCTAGATATATGATTGTGCCCCCTCAAAAAAAAAAAAAAAAAAAAACGTCAGATGACCTTTTAATGCTTGATTAATTAATTGTCAAGGAATTTTGGTGGTTGATAGTGCCTCCTCAACTGAAAATGTATTGCTCTGCACCCCCCTTCCCTACCTACCAACAGAAATTGCTTCCTACGAGCCTGGCTTCAGAGATACCTAAAGCTGAAAGGAACAATTATATTTTCAAAATGTCGAGACCCAACACCTAAATTTCCTCCAATGAGTAGAGACAACTTTACAAATAATGATGTTGGGATTCATTTGCTGGATTTCTCCATTCCAATATCCACAGTAGACTAAATACCAGTATACCGATTTATTAAATACTGGAGGTTGTCCTTTCACTTTATATGGGTCTACTTCAACTGTCCATCGTCTCTATAGAAATGACTAAGACAGCTCATTCTCCTCTAGCTGCTTTCATAGTGCTCTTTCTCCCTTTTACGTGAAGACAGTGGTGGCATATATTCCATATAGGCAAAAGGCTGCAGTCTGCATATCATTTTCTCAATATGTAATTTAAATCATATGTTTACTAACTAGTATATGTTGAAAAAAGGGGGGGTATCATAATACTCTGTTTATAATTTATTTAGCTTGATGTTGAATTGAAAAAAGTATTGTTAGCAATATGCATTTTATATTATACGAGCTTGATCTTGATCATGACAAGAAATAAAAATTTATTATTGGAAATAATTTTTTAGGGAATAGGAAAACTGCAAACGGGGTATTGTTGGAAATAATGATTTAGTAGGGAAGTTTAAATTGCAAAGGGATAAATAAATAAAATTTCTAAATCTTAATTTTGTTTGGTAATCATGACGATTTTTATTTGGCTATCGTCGATGTCTTCACATTAGCTTACATGCACATATATCACCGGGAGACATTCTCGAATCCACATGCTCTGTACTTCTTACTGATTTTGACTGCTGATTTTGTTTATGTGTATTTTAACCACCTTTATTGTACGCTTTTGGTAGACATCTTCTGTTGTTTTTTTTTTTTACTGTAACTGGTGTGCAAAAAACCGCATACGAAAAATTATAATTGCATCTCATATTTCTTGAAACAGTGATTCGTTATTGGAAACCTAAATACCCCCAACTTTAAAGCGAATACTATTAATTTCTGATTTAGAAATTGTATGACGCTTTCAGTGCTTTTAGACACATAATTTTATTAAACATCTGCACCAAATTTGTTTACCTAGACTGTACGATTCACATTGGAGCGGTACCGAAAAGTGAAAGTAGTCTGCTTGCATGTACGCTTCTGGTCAGCGTCACTAAAAAGCTTGTTCATGTTTATTTAAATATTAGGACATTAAACGAGTTGAATTTAATAATTTCATGATATATGATAAAAGCAAGAATAATTCAGCATAACAGGGCAGCTAGGTTAGGCTAAGTATTGGACTTTGATAAGAAAAATACAGAATCTTCATCTGAAAGTGATTCGTTAACGGGTGCGATTCGTTATTGGCAACCTCACTGTATCACACGAAAAATACGATGAGAACGAAGCATCTGTTGGAACGACGCCATTTTTATTTTAGCCAGGAGCGGATCAAAATCCACCACATGCACCTGTTCCATAATAAATCTGGAATAAGTTATTTTAATTGATTTATGTTTACTTATATCGCTTCAGAAAAATATAGACCACCTTTTTAGTGTAACATAACAGGGTGAAAGTGTCTTATTTATTTATTTTCATTATAAAATAAAAAAAATATTCATAAATGGGAATACAATGTATGTGAAAAAAAATGCACATGTTCTGGATGACATGCGAGTACAAAGGCATCCTGTGTCATACAACTATGGAATTAACAATTTGAGATGTAAATAAAAAATAATGATCAGATTGAGATTTTGATGATCTTAAAGATGCATTATGTTGATGATGTCAAGGGCTCAAAAAAGAAAAAGACAAAATTTTCTGGAAAATATCAGGTTCAAAGAAAAATTGTCAAAGCAAGTCTCAGCTATTACTTGCATTGCAGCAGTTATGCATAAAGCATCAAACAATTTCTCAGAAGATAGTAGAGGTAGACAGTGTACGTGTTGCTAATGCACTTGTAAGCATTTTGTATAAAGAAGTGGTTTGAATTCCTACAGAGGATTGGAATTCAAGTGATCTTAATTTATTGCTTTGGAAAGATAATGATTTACATTTAAGATGTCATAATAAATAAAATACCCTTCAAATCTTATTTAATATGTTGTTTTAATTTAGAATTTAAAATTTGTTATTTTTCTAGAAGTACATGTATAAACCATAAGGGCCAGAGCATAATGGTTCCTGGAAGGATTTGTTTACGAAACCTTTTTCATTGCTTCTGGAGATTTGTTGGTTAATTTCTCATTCCGGAGAAATTTAACTCCATCACTACCATGTTGGGGGTTCCTTAATGCCAGATGACATCTCCAGGAAAGCAAAGAGGTACTTTTAAAATGTCATGATAAATAAAATACCCTTCAGATCTTCAATTTAACTTGTTATTTATATGTCGTTTTAATGATAATGTAAAATATTTTATTTTTCTAGAGGTATACACCACAAATGGCAGAGCATAAAGGATGACTGGGAGATTTGATAAACTTACTGTTGTAGGAGAACAATTTCAAGCATTGATATATATTAGAAAATTGTGCTGTCAGTCTTTTGTATGTTGGAGGACAAGCTTCCCCTTGAAAACTGGAACAAATGTGAAATGAAGAAAGTGTATCTTTATATTGAGAACTTTTCCTTGTAAAATCACCTCTGGGAAAAAGTTTATTTCATATCAATTTATTGTGTTCATTATCTGGTCTAATTTTATATTTGTAATTGTTTTAAAATTGCATGGCGAAACACATTTTTGCTCACCTGAGTCAAAAGCTTAAATGAGTTTTTTGATCCGATTTCTTTGTTGTCTGTTGTGTTGTAAACTTGTTACAACTTAATTTTTGTTCAAATGATGCCCCTTCCCCCCTGGGAGCTTGAGACCATTTATAAAGTTAAACTTCTCAAAATGGAACTGATATCTTCTTTTTTTCAAGCCAAGATACTCAGGTGATGTACAAAGTATGTACTTTGAAGTGACATCAATTAGAAGCAATATAATTTTTAAACCGCAGTTTGATAGCAGAAATTTTATTTTCAAGAAAATGTTGGAGGCATATGTTTATTTATATCATATCAATTTCATGTTTGAATTTCAAAACCGATTTCAGCTACTACAATTTACATTGGAAAAAAATGCAGTTGTCCAACTTGTGTCTATTGTGTGTCATGAAGGTAAAATCTTACAGCTTATTGTGATATGCAACAAATATTTTACCGTGACCATGTGTTTTTGCAACAGTTGTAAAGTGTATATGCTCAAGAACATAATTATTAGTTTTTTCCTGTAGCCCAAATATAACTGTGTTAGTACTTTGATTACTGAAGCATTTATTTGTAAATCAGGGTCCTGTGTAAAACTTCTGATATTAAGACACACATTCACACATTTTGCATTCTTAATGCTCGTTACACTTGTGAGAAAATTATGAACAAAATTGTGACGGCGACTTTCTCTTTTCTAAAAAAATAATTTTCTTGTATTTTACTGTATATTGTGCTTTTACACATTCAAACTGGAAGACTGCAATGTAAAAAAAATCTTATATGATAAGTATAACAATAGTAATTGTCAAATTGATAATGAAAAGTATTTTAGGTCACCTGAGCCGAAGGCTCAAGTGAGCTTTTCTGATCACATTTTGTCCGTCGTCCGTCCGTTTGTAAACTTTTCACATTTTCGACTTCTTCTCAAGACTCAATGGACCAATTTTAACCAAACTTGGCAAAAAGCATCCTTGGGTGATGGGAAGTTTAAATTGTTAACATGAAGGGCCAAGTCCCCTTACGAGGGGAGATAATCAAGAAAAGACAAAACTATGTGGGGTCAATAAAAATCTTCTTATCAAGAACCTCTGTCCAGGAAAGCTGAAACTTATGTGGAAGCGTCCTTGGGTAGTGTAGATATTTTATTGTTAAAATCATGACCCCCGGGGGTAGGGCGGGGCCACAATAGGGAATCCAAGTTTTACATAGAAATATATAGAACAAAGCTTTAAAAATCTTCTTCTGAAGAACCACAGGGCCAGGACAGCTGAAACTTATGTGGAAGCATTCTTGGGTAGTGTAGATATTAAATTGTTAAAATCATGACCACCGGGGGTAGGGCGGGGCCACAATAGGTAATCCAAGTTTTACATAGAAATATATAGAACAAAGCTTTAAAAATCTTCTTCTCAAGAACCACTGGGCCAGGAAAGCTGAAATTTTATGGAAGCATCCTTGGGTAGTGTGGATATTAAATTGTTTGAAATCATGACCCCCGGTGGTAGGGCGGGGCCACAATAGGGAATCCAAGTTTAACATAGAAATTTATAGAACAAAATTAAAAATCTTCTTCTCAAGAACCACTGAGCCTGGAAATCTGAAACTTATGTGGAAGCATCCTTGGGTTGTGTAGATTCTAAAGTTTTAAAATCATAAAAGGGAAGGGGGTAGTGGGCATCATAGGTAAAGAAAGAGAGGAAATCTGGTAAAGAACTGCATCACCCAAGTTACTCTGGTGAGCGATGTGGCCCATGGGCCTCTTGTTTTAAAGAGATATTACTTTTGCTGTATCCACATTAAGGGCATTCAGATATTGTTGTACCATGATACACTGTAGGTATAAAAGAGCGTTTCATTTCATTTGTTAAAATAGGGCACTAATACACAATAAATGTTTAAATATAATGTAAAAAGAATTGCTTTCCTTATTATTTCACATGACATTATTTCTTCATGGGATTTAATAATACAGTGCATCATCTCATGAAATTGACATCATAAATCAAATGGAAGTCTAAATTTCTGCAATTTTTAAAAGGCAATTTCATTTCCTTATCAGTAAAGCAGTGTTCAATTTATAAGCTTGAACAACCATCAACTCGTATCAGTACTTTCAGTACTTTGATTATTCCGAGATATTAAATTTTTCGTAAATAGAATACTATTTCTATGTCAATGGGTGCAAACAGTATTAAAACATGTTGTTAGCCTTTAAAGAAAAATTCGAACTGATTAAAACTGAAAGTTTTGCTTCTAATTTTTGTCCGTTGTCATGACAAGATACGAAAATTCAATCCGTTGTCTTCGGTCCGTTGTCGCTAGTACTGTACTATATACACCATGAAGAAGGTCAACGTGAGGGGTATTTTTATGTTTTGATAAATTTCAAGTATGCCTTCAAAGAAATGGTGAAGGGTGAAAGAGAGAGTGGCGCGGGGGAGCCAACAAGTCTTAATAAACTAAAAGTATGTTATCTTCAATTTCATTTGAACAAAGTGAATGAATTGGAAGATGAGGAAATACGAGGGTTGTTCGAAAAGTTGGTGGACAATGTCAATCTTCGTCATACTATCAAGAAATTCAAAATAAGGACAATATCATGTGTAAAATATTTGTTTTGCAGATGTGTAAAATTGCATTTCATTAGATTTAATAGAAATCAATTTCATTTTAAAATCAACATGTTTTGTAATCGCGGAGCATACTGAACGGTAGCCCTCTCTGATATTTTTTTATCTGATATTTTATGGAGAGTGATACCCTGAAATATTGCGGGAGAAAATCACTATATGGAGACCCTAAGGAGTTGTAGTCCCCCCCCCCCCCCCGCCCCCGCAAAAAAAATCGTACATTATTGCAGCTAACTTAATGGCAAGGTAACGTCAAAGATTTCTTAAAAATACTAACTCTATACATTTCACACAGAATGTAACAGTTCTAATTTTTTTTTTTTTTTTGCTCTATTTTACAGAGAATATGACTACAGATATTAGAATATTTATTTAGTGTGTTGTTTGTGAATTACTAAATTTTGACCTGCTCTGCGATCCGATTTTTGCAATTTTAAATTCTGAATAGGTTTGAAATAAATGGAGATAAAATTAAAATACAAATCACTTGGATTGACTGTTAAACTAATTTCTATCTTTTGGATATAACGTTAAATTTTAAAAACATATGGCAGCTAGGAGTCCACGTTTTCATAAAATCATTGAATTGTCAATGTACGAGGGTTGTTCATGGACTCCTGTAATATCTTTTCTTAATTATCTCACAGCAAAGGACCCCCCTCCTTGGTCCGTAGGTCTGTTCATTTGAATTTCTTTGCCCATAAAATTCTTTTGAAATAATTATTAGGACAGAAAAGGGAGTAATTGATTTACTGTGTCGGGTGAAATGCATGAACAAATATATTATAAGTAATTTTTTTTTTCTGAACATCCCCTGCCCGATCTTCCCATCTATATCTATGCCGACCCAAATAATTTACCCTGAGTCGGAAGAGGGTGGGCAAACATTTTGTTTGTTTGTTTGAATGTTGTTTAACCTCTCAAGATTTTTTTTTCAATTATATGGAGACGTTGGCCGGCTCAAGCTCAAAAGTTCATTAAACAATGAATAATTGAAGCAGAACAAACACGGAAGTCCAAAACATCAGAGGTGGGATGAGTGAGATCAGGTGCCATAAAGGAGTGAGCATCCCCTGCCGATCGGTCACATCCGCCGTGTGCTCCTTGTCATAACTGGGAAATTCGTCGACAATTCAGTTTGTATATTATAATTATATTATAATTAGGATGAAAAACGTCAGTCAGCATTTGACATGATTTTCTATTTGCTGACAAGGTCATTGTATCGTCCATAGAACTTACGAAATGATGACTTAAAACGAGAATTCTGATATTCTTGTTTCAACAGCTTGTTTTTCAATACTTTAATTCAAAAGTTTCTGCCATATGCTTTGTTTTCTTTTCTATTAAATATTTATATATAATCATTTCATTTGCGTTTTACATGTTAGGAAAAAGACACCGGACTAGAAAAACTTAACATGTACTGACAACGGACTTTTTGCTTATAAATTGCTAGCTGCAGAACTGTAGCTCTCTGCTTGAGAAAATTCGGACGGATCCGTCCGAATTTTCTCAAGCAGAGAGCTACAGTTCTGCAGCTAATAAATTGCGATTTCTTAAAGCATTTTGCCTTAAAAAAGGCCGTCAGTTGCCTTACACATGTAAAATGAAGTTTCTCCTCATATTATAAAATGAAAGGACCATTTTAATAAATTAAACATAAGAAATATCTAATTTTTGACCTGACAATCATGACTTCACACATGGGCATGTGATCGCCATTCAAAACTTCTCAAAATGTATTGTTAGTATCAATAATATCAATCTTTGTATGGAATACTGAATTGTTCAAAAATGTCGAATTTTAGGCGTTATGTATAAATTCTTGTATGTTTTGAATGACAACGGACGGATTTTATCATAACCTTACCTGTAAGTTCATGACAACGAACCATTTTCAGTGCTTAACTTTAAAGGTTTCTGACAACGGTACTGTCTTGGAACTTAACGTGTTCCTGGCCGTGAACATATAGACTAACCTTAAATAAATGAAAAACGTTTGTTCCTTGCAAGACAAGAGGTTTATAATGTGTCTGTGAAGCCAACTCTACCAGATTCTTTAAAGGTGCATTTGGAAGTGTAACAGTCAAGAATGCCGCCAAGGAAGAGGCGTACAAAGCCATGATCAGCGTAATAAAAAGCCACCAAAATCCTAATATTATATATCCTTGTAGGAATCTGGGTCGAGGACAATCCTCTGAAACGGACAGGAAATTTATATTTAGGAGATCAATACTAATTTCTTTCAATTGATATCAGTGCATTTCAATATTATCATGTATTTAAATTCACTTTAAAATACAGCCACATACCAGATCTTTTAATGGAATATATTCAAAGTACATGTATCTGCAGTATGGTGGGAGTTTAACAAGTTTCTTTAAACAGCAGGCTATAAAATATTTACCTTGCCCTAAAATTGAGCTTAATGATATCCACAAGTTTTGAGAAAGCGACGCCTCTTTGTGTTCAGCAGATGGACTCAGTTTGGCAAGGATTGTAAGAATTATACCTGTCAATACAATGGAAACTACTACGGCAACCCAACATACAACACTAAAAGGACGAAAGACATGAAACATTTGTTCGAGAAGAGGACTGTCAATTTTCTTCATTAGAAAACCTATTCCTTCCTCCTGAAACGGCGTCAAAAAGTCAACAACATTTAAACGAGCTGCTGTCGTAGTGATAGGGCCTATTGCTAAGTCAACCTCCTAAAAAAAGAATGTAAAGAAGAGTCTGGCATTGTTTGCAACATTATTTTTTCAAACATACTTCTAGCATGAACCATTCGAATAATTTTTTTTTCTCTGCAATAAAGAAATCACTAGTTGCATGGAAACGGATAAGTGCATGGGAATATTTCAAAACATACCCCTCGCATGACCATTCCAATCATTCCTGTTGCATTAGCGAAATCGTCAGTTGGATTTCCGTATAAGCTGTCAACTGAATTCTTCATATGGTATCTTTTCGAAATAAATTAAAGAACGTGATTTTTAATAATAATAATGTGTTATGTATAAAATGTCAATGAATTTCATCAAGAATACTTTTCTTCTTTGAAAGTTTCAAGACATAATCTCAAATGTCTTTTTTCATCTAACCGAAAGTTTAAAGCCTTTGAAAGATCCTCCAAAATGTCATAACAAAACCCAGAAAACATCACTTTCCCCGACTCAGGATCTGTAGATTTTTTTATGTAAGGGTTAGCCTGCAATGGGAAATATATTAACAGTTTTCATTAAATTTAAACTTTTGTTTTAGGGCTTTCGTCAAAAATCGGTCAACATTTATAACTTTACGTTTATCAACCTTTACTTTGTAATTTCTTTTTTTGGAGTAGAAAGAGGCAGAAGATAATCAACCATTTAGTTTTAAAGCAAAAATATTTTTAAAAAAAAAAACGAATAAGATAAACGAACACTAATGCGGCTGCAGATGCCCCAATATGATAGCTTTTGCCGAGGGTTGAAGCTTCTCAAATGCAAGTCCAACTCCCAAATCAATAGATCCAAAATATTGTTACCCAAACAAAGGACTTGTGTAAATGAATAGATATTTGAAATATGAACACCCGAGTACAAATCTTTTTAATGTTATGACCAATGTCAGCGGGTTTTCTAAAGTTGGTCAAACTCCAAGGTAAAAGGTTAAACGGTGAATATCAATAATACCCATGGAGACCAGGGAGAGACCTTGTTATAAGAAATACACAAGTGAAATATAAATTGCCTAACGCCCATTATTCAAAGGTTTCGATTGAGGTGAAAGGTTTCCAGTCAAATTCAAGGTCAAATCTGATGGTTTCCAAAAAATGTCTTGTCCAAAGAAATACTACTGTGAAATATGAAGGACCTAGTACTAAAAGTTTAAATGTTGTGGCCAAGGGTAAGGTTTTTTAAGAAGTGCAAACTCTACGGTCAAGGTTAAAAGGTCAAAAATATATATACTAATTGTAAAGTCTTGTCTCAATAAATACACATGTGAAGTAATAAAGTCCTAGCATCAACTGTTCAGAAATTATGGCCATGGTTAAAGTTTGTTTGTTTTTTTTTTTTTTTTTTTTTTTTTTTTTTTTTTTTTTGGTTTTTTTTTTTTTTGTGGTTTTTTTTTTTTTTGTTTTTTGTTTTTTTTTTTTTGGTAAAAGTGGGCAAAACTCCACGTTCAGGCCAAGAGATAAAATGTGTTGGTATCCGAAGAAAGATCTTGTCACAAGAAATACATCTTTGAAATATGAAAGCCATAGACCTACCAAATGAAACGTTATGGGCAGGGTTAATGTTTTTATCGAGAAACAGACAGACAGACGGACGGACAAGGCAAAAACTATTTAACTCCAAAATTCAATTACGGGACACAAAAAGACCCCGTGCAGATCCTTCCTTTTATATTGGATTTCTTTTTGGTGTCGTACGTACCTCAACAAACACAACGCTGAAATTCTGCTTTCTAAAATCCTTGAAAATATTTTTAAACAATCGTTGATCATAAATTTTCAAATTCTGACGATACTCTGCTACTTTATCCAGGCTCTTATTGATTCTGTTTGTGTTATAAACGTCTGTGACACTCCAGAATGGTATCTTTATTTGCTTCAACGAATTCTAGTAAGAACAATTTTAAAGATTAAAATACATAAAAAAGTTGGCTTTGTAAAATAGTATAATTCGAAGATAACGAAAATACACTGAAGTACCCTCAATGCTGTTAGGAAAAATATGTCCGTTGTTGAATTGTTTATTTTGCATTTAAATTCATCCTTAACTTCAATCGTGAAATTCATCCAGTATTCAATTTTGTCTTCTTTGTATTCTTGAATGGCCGGGAACAGATTAAAACTTTCAAACTGGAACATAGGTACATGTACAGTCAATAAATTTCAAATTATTCATTTATATTATCATAGTTTTAATCAAACGTAATAATACTTCCATGTCCTGAGAGCTTTACATGAAACTCTTTAACATTAACTTACATAGTCACTGTTGAACGGTAAATTTGATGGCGTCATAAGAAAAAGAATATATTTCTCATAAAGATCAACTTTCAGTGAATCAACAAAGGTATGTACAGAATCCACATTGATGTTTAAAATGCAGTAATTATTCAATGTTAACTTTTCTAATGAGGTTATCTGAAAAAAATTAATTATAAGAAACTGTACATATAAGTCAACCAATAATTAATTTTTACAGTTCTATTTAAATGTTTTTAGTACAATTAGTCAATTTTCAGAACTTGAATTTAAATTCAGAATATTAATCTTGCAAAGATTTAAGTAATAATGTTGACTAGGTTACTGTGAGCACTGAGCTCAGTAAATGATACCCATCACCTCCTATATGATGCCAAAGTGCATGTTTTCTCTGGGAAACACAAACTAGGTGTCAGATCAAATAGTAAAATAGGAAGTACACAATGGAACGAACATGACGAACATTCTGTGAAAGTATCATTAAATTTCATTCAGTGGTAAAGTTAGTTGCGGATAAGAAATGGGTACCCCAAAGCGTAACAGACGGACGGACGGACACCCAAATGACTATATACCCTACAAAGACTGGATTTAATATTTTTAAAATAATAACATAAAACGAATAGTATTCAAGCTAAAAGCTATAGTAAATATGAACAATGAAAACAGCGAGAAGAACAAACATAGACCTGCAAAAACATCAGAGGCGGGATCAGATGCCATTGAGTAAATATCCACTGTTGTCCGGTCACTAACGCTGTGTGCTACTTTTTTTAATCGAATAATAGACAAATACAATTCACTGTTGAAATAATAGCTAACAATTTTTATGAAAACATCAGTCAACATTTTACTTGATGATAAATTGTTTTCATTAAAAGGTCATTCTATCGACCATAGAATATTTGCGAAACGTTGATGTAAACGATGTAAACGAGACCATTGATATCTTTGTAACATCAACTTATTTGCTGATGGCTTGTCCGGATTTATAAAATTTTTTGGTACGTATTGAATCAATTGGGAGGAATAAACTCCACATGCAGGTATTTGTGGTATATTGCTACATGAATAAAGGAAGTTGACGGTAGAAAAGTTGAAGTAATATCGCCGCGAACGAGAATCGAACCTAGGCCTCGGGATCACAAAGCGAACGCTCTACCACTAGGCTACCATGACCGGTAAGTTTAGTGGATAATTCGCTATTAATGTCTTTCTCTGATAAAATATTCAAATGAGAACGTGTGAAAATATATGATGTCCTTTTATTTGAGCTTAAGGATTGTATCAAATGAAGAAAAAGAACCGTGTAGAAAAGCCATATTTTTATGCCAATGATTTGGTTGAATTTAGTGATTTTATATCTTGGAAAAATCCTTGATAATTTTTCAGTATCTCCTTTTCAATAAAAGCATTTCTCAAATTAAATGCGTACAGTATTTTGAAGTAACCCCTTCACTTGTGTTTACATTTTGGTAAGGAGAAAAGAAATAACCTTCGTAAATTACGTACATATATTTTCTTTACTTTTTTTTTCAATGAAAAGTAAAATTCAATTTGATTATTGGGAATGTTAAAAACCTTTTAAAGCTGACAAATGATTTTAAAGAATTTCCTCCTTGGAAAGGAAACTGTGAGGTATCATTTCCAGAATAAGTCAAGTTCAAGAAATTAATAATATCCCGCACTTTGTGCACGTGATAGCTGGACAAAATAATGATTGACCCTTTAAAAAAACACAATAAAATATCAATTATTTTTTTTTATTCTTTTTCACTTGAATTGTTGAAGATACAGGGAGAGGTAAATTCATATTTGAAGCGAGATTTTAACATCCATCTGAAAATTTTGATCCCTTCTGAAAGAGTGCCATGGTCTTTCTTTTAATTTTTTTTCCCATCACTTGACATAATCTTCGATAGACTTTATAATATGAAATTTTGACGCCATGTGTACATCCCTTTTTTAAAGTGTTCTTAAGAAGAAGATCGACATCCCATCAATTATAAACAGATCAAATAAATACAATCATGAGTACCTCTTGTAAGATTGAGTTTATCATGAGCTCCTTATCGACAACGTAAAAAATGTTCATGGAGTTTGTATTGCTGACATACTGCACTAGACTTCTAATGCTCTCATCTAAACCCACATGGATCAATTGAGATGCCACAAAATCAATACTAAGGCGCTTTACAATGTCTTGCAAACAGCAAGAACCTGAAAAATAAATATGCATTAGTCTCTATATCGCCTTTGCAAACTGAAGAATATTATTAGAAAAAGAACAAGAAGGACATGAAACAAGGATAAACATAGGTTTCCAGCAAAAAAAGTTTTTTTTTTTTTTTAAAAATGCACCGAATAAATGTTCATACCGTTTTCTCCCTCCTGAAAATTATTTAAATAAATTTTCGAATGCCCTTCATAGGTCATGATTTTAAGGATATTACTCGTGAGATAAGAGAGTACGATAAACTACAGCTTTATCGCTTTTGTATTCTTCACAAAAAATATTCTTTCTAACTTATTGAGCATCCCTATATCTATTCCTTTTGTATTTTAAACCATTTCCCCGCTGAAAGACTTCAAGAATTTTTGATTGATTGATTTTGTTTTTGGACCAAATCATGCTTTCAACCGAATTTCATTTAAATCCTCTGGAAAAATAGAGGGACAATAAATATTTTTTAAGATGGACGGATGGACGGACGGATATATATACTGGTTGATAGATAAACTTACTGAATGAATCATCATATAGAATGTGGACCTTTTTCCACATTTCTTGCTTTGCAATTGAATGAAGTAGTTCATTTGCTACTCTACAATCACTATGCTTCCACGCCTCGCCTTCCTCTTGCATATAATGGCATAGTTCCTGGGATGAAAATAGAAGTGGAAGAAGAAATGGCGGTGTATTCCACTGCAATATTTCACCGTCACAAGGCACAGAAGCAACAATTGCCTTTATCTTGGAAGTTGAAAGGTTGGAAACTATAATAAAAAGAATTGATTATAAATTCTGAATGTACAACAATTAATCAGGTCTTTTCACCAATGATTCGGTTAAACGCATGATCTGGTACAATGACATCATCACCTGCTTACGGGGTTTATATCTCTCATTTGATTCGATACACAAGAGCATGCTCTACGTACAAACAATTTCTAATTGTAAGTAATTGACCACTGTGTTGATGAAACAGCTTGTTCTGATCTATAACTTGCATTGTTTAATGGACATCTGAGCTTGACTACTTTCCGTTATCTCCATATATTTCTTTTAAAAGAATTTGATTGGTAACTTAGTTTTGCGACTCATTTAGAGTTCTTGTCCTTTGCACGACCAAAAATGTCCACATTCACCAACAAATCGAAACTTCTAGAGGGTGCACGTGGCTCGTAGAAACAATGGTCTGGCTTCAGATAGGTAATTGGCCATTGACCTTGAAATTTTAATATCAAGGATAAATATCATTATTATATGATTGAATAATTCCTATCTCTTTGATTGGCCGAGATCCAACTATGTGGAAGAAATGCTACGTTATTTTAACCTTCACCTGACGTTCCAGGTTAATACGAGGATTTATTTCCTATACATTAATCTAAAAATAGATTGGAAAATTCCAAATTGATACAAATTGTTATGGAAAGCTATTTTAAGAACTATGACTTTTTCTCATGTGAACAAAACATTAGTGAATATATATTTTCAGGTGAGGGTGGTTAGAGGGGTTGCAGGGACCCCCTCCAACACTTTTACTGAACAACAATTTTTACTTTCTTGGCTGTCAATTTTCCCTGATAATACTCCTTCCTTTCAACATCTATTCTATGAAAAAACTACTTTATATGTTTTTTCATGGCAAATAAAATAGAGGAAAAAAACATTTAAAATTGCGACTGGTAAGGTTTATTTACATTTAAATTCTGCATCTCCCTTACATTTGGCTAGGACTTAATTAAATGCAAACAAGTACCCCGGTAATGAGCTGTATCATTTTATCAGGGAATCATATAATAAAACAATTATTGCTGTTTTTTCGGTCAATACAATGATTTAGCTATCTTCGAAGTACAATATGCGGGCTCGGTGAATATTGTACTCCTCAGACGGCTAAATCATTGTATTGACCTCAAAAAAACAGCAATAAATGTATATTGTAAATTAGAGGACTATCGAATATTGACCGTATTACCAAATGATTTTGAATTTTGTTCCTGCATGACCATAGGATCATAAATTATGAAAAAAAAGATGTTTCTAGATAGATAGAATCAAGTTTAATCAATTCATCATCCCCTGGGGTAGGAATGGGCCACAACGGTCGGTTAAATTTTACAATGTAATGCATAAGAAAAGTCTTAAAAATTCTTGATGTAAATTATTTTAATACCAAGCAAGCGTATTTAAACTTAGTGTATATTCAAATAATGTCTTCCCACACCTTTTATATTTAAACTTGTCAATACTTATTTGATTTCTGCTTTTTTATGCACCCGTAATCAAACATCAATTTTTACCAATTGACATTAACTTGGATTTTGACCTGCATTTGCATTAGCTGCCATACGGGGGCATCAATGTTTCACAAAAACATCTTGTTTCCAAATAAAATGATACAAAACATTCAAGAAATGGAAAATGTCCGTTTTTTTAAACAATTGATTTACTAGCACCTCTTATCTGGACTTCCACAGAATACTGGTAGTCACATGCAACAAAAAACAACCAATTCATTAAAAAATTACTCTGTCAATACAATGCTGTTTTCTTTACATTGCATTAACTTTTCTTATCAGATAGATATAAATTCTTAGACCTAGAAAATAAATCTATGGAAATACCATGAGAAATGCAGGCTTTATTATAAATAGAATTTATGCACAGAGCTTACCTATGTTGAGAGTAATATCATGCTTAGTGGACGAGCTCCTTAGAAAAGGGACAAAAATAATTAAATGAATGGAAGTAAGGTATGTCCAAACCAGGTTAAACATGATTTACCTTTACTTTGTTTTTCAACCGTTGTTGTATGTTTAAATAAATCTTGAGATTTTGGTGTCAATTCTTTAAAAATTCATTAAATAAGTCAAAATTTAATCGAAAAGATCAATGCGTCGTTCGAAATTATTGATTGATATTAATAAAAAGCATCAAATTACTTAATATAATATAACACCTGTATTTTCGCTCCGCTAGTTTATGCTACAATACAAGATATATTCCATCAGGATCGAAAATACAAGCTTATTATTAATTAGATTGCATAATTTGATGCTTCAGAGTTCTATTGATAGCAATCTACTAACTTTAATATTAGAATGTTGAATACAGTGTCGTATGAAATATTATTTTAAACATATTTGATTCAACAATATTGACATACATTATAGTGTTTAAATTTAAGTTAAAGATCGTGAAGCTGATAAGGACTATACAAGTATATTCCTCGTTGCGTGTTTAAGAAGGGTTTTCCTCTTTGTTCATTTGAGAAGAATTTTCTTTAAATCAACCTTAACTGGAACACCTCAGGTTGCTTGAATAATTGTCTTACTATTTATGGTTATCTTGTTCTTGAGAAAAAGAGGCTAAAAGAATTTTACTTAACACTTGAAACTTGTAACTACTTTTCGAACCTCATCCTTTCCCCCAAAGACTATGATTTGGACAAATTGAGATCTATACTATTTGAGAATATATTCATATAGTTTGGCTTAATATTTTAGCTCTTCTGTTCTTGAGATCATTATTAATCACTTTTCCTACACATTCCTATAACTTCGAGACCTTTTAACAAACTAATCCTGTACTATAAAAGAAGCTATTACACATGTACATCCACTTGTCCTTTTTAGCCTAGGTTTGGACCAAAAATAATGACCCAATGATAACCCAATCTCATTTTAACATTTTTCTGATTACCTTGACATAAAACCTTGACATGGAACTTTGCATTTCATTTAAACAAGTTAACTTGAGTTTTCATTATGAAAGTATGTCAAGGTTTAAGCTTGGGTACCAATTGCGCCCCATTATTATCAGACCTATTTCTGTATTCACATGAAGCAGATTTTGTGCAAAATCTTAAGCATGAAAACACTTGCTGTTGCCTTCAACTCGACATATACAGTGGACCTTCAGATATCCGGACGCCAGATATCCGGATGCTTCAGTATCCGGACGATTTTTCATCGGAACGAAATTTTAAAATGTCATTCTGTCTTGTTTAACTTGTGATTCAGATATCCGGATGCTTCACATATCCGGACAAATTGACTGGGAACCAAAGCGTCCGGATAAATGAGGGTCCACTGTAGATATATCGACAACGTATTTTTGTCAATTAACAATGGTAATTTCCACTCTTATGTCGATACGATATACCCTGGTGAGCTTGAGATAAAAGATACTAAAGAGTCTGACACATATGTTTCATATTTGGATTTTTCACTAGAAAAAGACTTCAATGGTAATCTAACTCTATGATAAACGTGACGACTTTAACTTTTCTATCCTCAACTTATGAAATAATATACAGAACCTTTGTCTGCATAGAATTTGTATCTCTCAGTTGATTCGATACTCAAGAGCATGCCCTACGTATAAACAATTTCTAAAACAAGGTAAATTATTGTCAAGATGATGAACCAAGAATTTCAGCAGTCTCGTTTAAAGTCATCATTTCGAAAGGTTTATGGTCGATACAATGACCTTGTCAGCGTATACAATTTTTCATTAAGTAAAATGCTGACTGATGTTTTTTAAACTAATTGTTAGTCCATTATATTCACTGAATTGTCAACAGATTTTTCCGTAAATTCCCAATCATGAGCACACGGTGGGTGTGACCGGTCGGCAGGGGATGTTCACTCCTCCATGGCACCTGATCCCACCTCCGATGTTTTGGAGGTCCGTGTTTGCTCTGCCCCTATTTTATATTGTTTTATGGACATCTGATCTTGAATACTTTCATTATCTCCACATATGAGGGTTGATCCAAAAGTTCGTGGAATTTCTTTCTAAAATTTTATCGTGATTTGATGAAAGGAAACAACGTGCATATTTATGATATAGAGTCATAATGCAACAATATTGGAAAGTTTCATCACATTCCAATTACCAATAAGGTCTAAGGAGCTTTCTGAAAATGGATTGTTGTGAAACCCGGGGGAGACTTCGACCTAACGTCAATTCAGATACGTTACGTCACAATATAAAAGCATCTCAGCCTAATGTCCTATTCGAGAACGTAATTCTACAAATTGCTGCCCTTTTCTCCATTTTGTCTCAAGAAAAGCCTGGGTATTCTCTCCACCAACTTATCTTCATTTTTAACTCATATTTCAAAATGCTCCCCATCTTTCCATATGATGTTCCAATTTCAGTAGCAATGTCAAGAACAGTACGTCAGCCGACAAAGTCCACTAAAGCTTTTAATTTGTTTAAGGGGGATAAACACAGCCTCCAGAAAACCACAACATCTTTAATCAACATCCAAGGAAGTTCTGTTTGTCTTAAATTTCTTACGACACTGGACAACCAGTAACTAAATGCATTTTCCCCCAGCCTATATTAATAATATGCGCGTTTCGGATAGAGTGATTCCGGGATTTTCACAAAGTTTATGACTTGACCGAAAAATTGACGTTGACTAACAACTTTGAAATGAACAATAAACCATCGACTAATACACGAAATATTCAATAAAATCAGTACAATTCTCACACAAAGGTCTATAAAAGATCAAGCAATCATAATAATGGCATAATTTTCGTTATATATACCACAAAGGGCGGTTTTATTCTCATTTCAGGCATTAAGAATTAAAATGATAACAAACGCCTTAATGTCTCCCCCGCGTTTCCAAACAACCATTTCTATGGCAACTTCCATAGAGTTACTATCATGAATATTCAAAATGTTTTTGTATTTTAAATATTCAACAAGTGTCTATATTATCACTTGTAATTTTAAGCCAATTTCACTTATAAATAAATAAAATACGAAGAAATTCCACGTACTTTTGGATCAACCCTCGTATTTCACCCAAAATCCTGAAAATCTCTCCTTTCAATCTGTGTTATTTCCGCTCTATTTTACAGCTTTTAACAAACTTGATTAAGTGCCTGCATAGTACATGTAGTATAGAAACTGTTCTAGTCAAAATGATTCTGCTGTTATTGCATTCTTGACTCTCTTAGTACAAGTATTATGTGATCTGTGTAGTGTTATATTTCATTTCTCATTGCTGTTATAAAAAAATTAACTAGTGTTTATTACTGCCAGTTTAATTTTATTTGAACATATACATGTGTTTATCATGTCTTATGTGACATTTTCTTCAATCTATTTCTTTTGTTAAAACAAATGGATTTAATATTAATCTTCTCAAAATTTGCATATTATCAATGTCACATATTAAGCATCTACCGATTTATTTAAAGATGTAGAGGGTACTGCAAAACTAATTTGTTATAAGTTTGTTGTTGTTCATACTAATTGTTAGACCGTTATTCTGTTATTTACACATGAATTGACGGCGGATTTTTCTACTTCCCGATCAGGACAGAGAACACAAGGGGGGGGGGGGTGTGACCGGTCGACATGGGATGCTGAGTTCTCCATAAGACCTATTCCTGCCTCTAATGCTTTTTAGAGGTTCGCTTAGAAAGTTTGATGGTTTTTGTCAGGTACCTCTAATTAGAATTGTAATAGAATTCTTTCAATAAGAATTAACTTTTTTTAGTTTTTAAAAGTTACACATACATGTACAGACCAAACTTCAAGCAACTTTCTATAAATACAAACATCTTACAATAAAAATAATTATGTTTTTTCTGGCATATTTTCTATATATCAATAAATTTCTGCATTATGTCTACTTAGAATACACGTTGTTAAATTGATAAATAGAAAATTCGTATAGAAACACAATAAAATGATCGGTCAAAAGTCTGACAACACAGAGAATAGTTCAAAAGATTAATTGTGAAGATGAAGGTATTGTATGTTTTTTCAGCGAACTTGCTTTAGTTTTCTGATTAATTTATCATAAAGAAAATTACAAAACGTGTAGTGTATATGCACAGTGTATATGCAGTTTCACTCAGGAATGCTTACCTGTAATGAGTTTTACAAAGTTGCATTTGTGTCCTTTCTGACATCTTTTATTTTCTTTAATAAAAATCTAAAACAAGTAAAAATTATTCTACTTATAGCTAATTTTAAAACACAATAATGTTATAAATTCATAGGTTATTTTTAATTTTCTTCTCGAATAAAAGAGGTCATATACTTAGTATAGCTGACATAAAACACTATGCACTGTATGTTCTAAAATACAGAGACAAAACAAAGAAATCAATACTGCGTTGAAAACATTTGATAATAATTTGATATAAAATTAGTGTACAAAAGTCATCCGAAACTCAAAACTATACTTCTAATCTTAGCTATGGATCGATTGGATTGCTTTTCCCGGTAAAATGAGCGATGGGTATTTCAAATTATAAACATTATTGATTGAAATCACAGGCCATACTCTGTGTAAAATTAATTATTCACACATATTATGGACACTTTCATATGAAGGTAAGAACTGGGTTTTTTTGTACCACATGTCCATTAATTTTAATTGTCAAATTGTGCATAATTATTTTTTCTGTTCTCAAATTTTCTTTTTTCGCAATGAATAATTTCGTATGTAATAGCAATTGTTTTAAATGATTTCTTTGTTCATTGACAATAATCTGTGAAATAACATCCACTCAATGACTTTTGATTCATTGCACTTATCTAGCTTTGTGTAATAGTTTTCATTCACTTACTTTATTACATTGAGCATGCAAGTATCGAAATTGTTATTGAGCATATATGTATCAACATTGTTATTGAGCATACATGAATCAACATTGTTGATATCGTGTGAGGGCAATATAGGCTTTTTTCACAATTCGTAAGTAATCTTCACATATATTAATAAATAACTACTAGTCTGAGAATTTATATAAATAAAACAATTAATCAAATAATTAAAAGAACTTAATCAAGAGTGTGGATGTAATATACCATTTATTCATTATCAAATAATGAATATGTATTAAACAGTAGATAAATTAACCTTAATATTTATTTGTGTTTGCTGTTTAACTTAACCGTAAAATTATTTGTATGGTATTTTTCTTGAAGTCTTTGTATCAAACAGAAAAAAAAGAAACCACGCATATCAATTCCATACAATCTTCCAATATTAACAAATCCTAGTTTTCCTGTTTTATGTTTATCAAACCCTTTTGATTGGACATTTCCAAAATAAGCAAATGTATTGATTACTTTAGTATTTCCGCATTCGTCCTACAGTCTAAATCTTTTCTACTTTTGGTCTATTCCTATTATCGTCGTTTATTCACACCCTCAGCTTGAAAACATCCAGTAAACGATGTTAGTCACAAAAAAAGAGATAATCCTATATTCTTTTTAGTATTTTGCTATAGAACTTTATTTTACGAAATTATTTTCAAAGTGGTCATACTAAGGGAGATTTTTTCATCATTCTTCCACATTTTCTTCAAGTTCTTTAATTCATGCATATATCTTAAATTTTTCAGCAATAGAATTCTTCTTCTCCATATTCGACAATAAATCATATGGCACTTCTTTTATGTCCATACAGTGTTTTACATATTAAAGCTGGAAGAAAGAAATATGCAAAATATTTTCTATATATTTTAAGGTTTTTAAAAATATTACTTAATCACTGGAAAAACATGAAATCTGAATCCCGCCCTTTTAAAACAATTTAAATTTATATTTCCCCAATGTATAATATATATAACAATAGTAAGTCTAAATGCCAACAAAATAGAAATAAAACATTCCTTTAGTGGATGGACACTGCTTCATATGTTATCAGGGAAAAACACATATATTTCATTCTTTTTATTTATAAACAGGTAAGCATGTACAATACTCTATAAATTAAAGATAGTCAATCCTGGTGCTTTTTAAGCCCCATAACGAGAAATGTTTACATACCCTTTTGTAAAACGTGTTTATAGCTTGTATATGTGTGTCGCAAATATAATCCAACAACAAAACAAGTCTCGATAATAATGTTTTCTTTTCAAAACTCAACAATATATAAAGATGTTATATTCCCACAACATAAAGCATTTTACTCGATTGTAATATAAATGATTGTTTGAATAGCATCGATTTTCGATTTACATATTCTGCACGATATAAAAGAATAAAATAACTTACTCAATGCAACATTGACATTATTTGTTATGTGTAATGATATTTCATTTCATTATATTATTGACTGTAGAAATGAGATGCTTACTTGAAAAGATTGGCATGTTTTACTAATTATGCATCAAATAATTTTCAATCAGTGGAAGAAAAAATCAATTTGTTTAAGTACAATTTACTTCCGATTTCTCTAAAATGCAATTCCTTCGACAGTTCAGACGCTTTGTAAAATATTATATCGGATTTACTTGATATAGTTCAAATTTTCTGAAATATGCCTCTGTTAAAAGTTTGACCAATTCGTAAGATATTGAATCTGAATCGCTCCATCAACTAGACCACGCGTCTCTAACCTTCATTACCTATAACTATCGATTCGAACGCGACTTTCCCCAGTTTTCAAAGGTATTCTAACAAATGTCCAAATTGTTGATATGACCCTGTTAAGATGTTATTCGAAACTTTTGTCATTTTGGTCCTGAAAACTGGCATATCTCTGGGGAAATACCATGTCGGTGAGTATTTGACTTTTAAATAAATTAAATAGAATTGTAAGTAAGTACTTATTAATGAGTATAATTCACAATTGCTTCTTTTTTGAGTGCTTTTTAGATTTATTCCGATAGTTACCTTCAGTTAAAGATCTTTGAAATTTTTTTTATTATTTTTAACTAATTTCGGAGAAAAATTTAGTGAGACAATTGAAGTCATAATATAATAAAACATTCACATACAAAGAGGGAAAAGGAAAAATGGATTAATTTTCATTTTTTTCCACTAATTTAAAAAAAATTGAGAAAAAAAGTTTGAGGAAAGAGTAGTTAACAAAAAAGTGTTTCTACTCTGAATTTGTGCTTTTGATTGATTTTGGGATTATTTTAGTGTAAACATTAATTTTAGGGCAAAAAAATATCTCAGGTCATGATCATTATGTAGAATTTGACAGCTAATATAAATGCAAATATTTTAGTATAATCTATAGTTTAGAGTTAAAAAGTCAGCATATCTAGACATTCATTTCTGTATTTTGATGTTAATTTTTCCTGTATATTCATGTTTTGCGTCATGCAGTTTCAAAACTGTTTTAGACAACACTGAAATAAACTATTTTGACTTAATAGAAACTCGTAGTAAATGATTTTAATGAACGGTTTACACTACGAAATAATCTTCGTCTTGCATAACAGCAAAATTTAGTTAATATACTTATTCACGGAAATTCGAATATTTATAATATGAAATGATAATTAAACATTTTTGTCCACATAATTTTTATTAGAAATTGAAGCAAAGATTAAACTTAATTATTTAAGCCTAAAACAATGAACTATCCATTTTTAGGTGTTTTGTATGATTTATCTGAGTGGTCTTTGCAAGATCTTCCCACTATCAACGTTTCTGTGCCTAACAGTGTCACGACATACCAATATTACCTCAACGGAAGTGACTTTTTCAACATCACAAGCAAAGGTAATAATGTCATCATGACTGTTGCATGTTTTAACTACTGTATACAGGGAAATTTTCACACACACCCCATTTTATTTTCGCTTTTTCGCCTTACCCTCATTTAGGCGAACTTAAAACGGGGCTAATTCAAAGAATACAGTTTAATTTCTGAAATAAAACGATGACTGGGCAAATTTAAAACCGGACAAAAATTGTCTGCAAGTGTGAAAGGGCGAAAATAACCTGGTGCAAAAATAACCCTGTATACTGTATTCAAAACTAAATTTAAATAAAACAATACGCCCTTAGTATATAAAAAAGGACAACATTTACTATTGTTCATCCTCAATTAATAATAGTTATCTCGTCTCTACATATCCTTTTACTTTGTTCATTGCAGTGTGTGAATTATCAGGAACTGAGATTTTAGGATTCATTACATTCACTTCTTGTAACAAGGGCCTTGTCTTCAGCAACCATGCCAGCTCATTAAATCTACCTCATGTACTTATCACCAAAGATGAAAAACCATGCATAACACCATCCTCGCCAACGTTATCCATTCTGGCGGACTGTCGTCTGCTAAACAGAGCATTTCTTTCTATTGCGTCACATAAAAATTGGAAAGCAGTCAACGTTATTTATGACGACTCTTACGGTTTGTTTTTATCACTTTTTTTTCAACCAGTAGTAAATGCCAACATTCTTTTTAACATTCTAATTAAAAGAGGTCTCCAATATTATTTTTTAATGAAGCAAGTAACTATTTGTTTTCTATAAGCAGTGAGCCATGGAGAATTTTTTTTCCCTATGTTATTTTTCCCACAATCTTTACTTTGTAAACAAGACATGTAACAAAGATATTTGGACTCTTTATTTTGAGATTAACTAGAGAAGATTCAAACCTCATTTTTAAAAGACAAAAAGATTTATGGAATAGATGTAATGCATTTTGCTTATAAATAAAACTGAAAGCATTTAATTGTTTAAAGAATACTTATCAAGATTCGCATCATCATTCGCATTATTATGTCAGAATGGTTAATATGCACAATAAGATGTTTTTTTTCTTACAGATGAATATTGTATCCAGCATTTGGTGGATCAATTTAATTCTGCTGCTATTTTCTCAAGTACTTTTCTTCTTTCCAATGTCAGCAATATGAAGGCTTTTCTTAATTCCAGTTACGGAGAAAATGAGAAGGCGGTGATTTTTACTGCACTGAATGTGAATAATACAATTGATACCATTCAAAAGGTACCTGCATGAAATCAAAAATTTAATTGTTCTCATTTTTAGTATATAGAATTAATTTTTAAGCGATATCAGTTTTGTCTATAAATAATAACTTTGAGAACAGACGGTTATACACATTAATAATTAGTTTTCTTAATTTACTCCTGTCTGGCGCCATTTAACTCACCATTGCCAGGAAATGGAATGTTTTATCTTGTCATCTAGATTAATAATGTCACAACTAAATAATCAGAGTTTAAATAAAATAAATTATTCAATAATGTTTACTTATATTAGTTTATAAATGGAGAAAAAATATTTATCAATGATATTGATTAAACACACCTACATGTATCACTTAGTTAAATTGCCTACGCTTCATTTCACCCTTTAAGCTGTATTCTACGTTGTACGGATTTTGATTAAATACGGATGTATCGGAAAAGTAGGCTCAGGGAATTTCAATGCGTTGTTAAGCTGTTTTAAATATTCATTTGATTGCTGGGACGTGAAATAGCTAAAGCTGAATATAGGAATATACCTAGAGGATATCCTACCATATCAGTTATTACAAGTGTACTTATATCGAGGCAGCTGCGAGATTGAATGTGATGGTAATAGAGACTTTAGGGAAAGAAATCACTAGTTTGATGTGTGATTACTAAATTTGGTACCTTTAGGAATAGAATCTGTCTTATTCCAAAGTCGATACCTACTCACTTTTCTAAAAGGTCAAAATTCTCATTAACTTCTTGTGAGAACGAGACTAGTACAAATGAATCATTAGTTAAAATCAGCATAAGTGGTAACAGAGTCAACTTATAATAAGTTACGTGTTTCCAAAATATTTTCAGAGGTAAAACCAGGAAGAAATTATAAATATTACCCTCGATCCAAATCAACATGTTAAAGAACAATCACGCCCGAAAAGAAAGGTCAAGAACTATATACTCTTTAAGGTTTATCGAACTGAAAACATACATATCTGAAAAACGGCAGCCATTCAGATAATTAGAATATTTGTTAAAAAAAGATCATACTCCAAGGACATAGGGTCAAAAGAAAGGGCCATGCATGATGAAATTATTGGTGAAAATTTTAAAGCCCTAACATCAAATGTTAAAGACAAGGCTATTTTTCATAAATTTACGTCAAACTCTAAGCCAGGATAAAAAAAAATATGGGTACCGAAAGAAATATCTTGTCATAGGGAATACTTGTGTGATACATATATATGAGTACAAGTCAAGATTTTTCTAGTGGGTCAAAGGTTAAATATTGATAGCGGAAGAAAGGTCTTGTATGTAGTGAAATAGGATACTGATAGCTCTAACCATTCAAAAGTGGTGGATATGCTTAAATTTTTTTGCGGACCAACATATTAACAGACAGGCTGACAGACCAAAATATATTTTCTGATGTTAATATTGATAATGTAAATTGAATTTTTCCAAATTACAATTTAGAATAGAATTGGGAGCCATTGTAAGATAACGTATTTAGAAGTCTTTACCCTAACTAAATTTATCTTATTTTAACCCCCCAAAATAATCTCATATAGATCTTTATGTATGCAAATGTTGTCAAAGAGGTTCATGAATGAAAAGATATATTTTTCAGGCTTCTTCCTTTAAGATGTTCAGTAGACAATACTTCTGGGTGTTTAGCATAGATCCAAATCTGTTATTGGATACTGATCTACCAAATGCTCTTCAGAATGGAAATGTTCTTACTGTGTCAAGAAACGTTGCTTTTAACAACAATATTAGCGTATGTATGTCTTTTTTATAAGAAAAAAATGTTTTACAAGGAAATATGTTGTAGATTTGATCATCCAAACATCAAAGCTACAATTTCTCGAACAATATTTGATTAATAAATGATTAAAATGGAATGATTAAAGGACGCAGCCTAATTTACTGAAAGGTTAAATTAATGGATAACATAATTTTTTTTTTTTTGCTAAACGTAGTTTTGAATTAAATGTAAACTGAAATGTGTTGAGCCATTGTAATTCATCATTTGTTCTGGACCATTTATTTGAACTTTTTTATGCTTCAGCTTTCCAATGTCATTCTGACTGATGTTATAATGGCCTACAGACGTAGTTTACAGTCGATGTTGAGTAATAACTCGTCCATTTCCATAGGGACGTACGACTGTTATACTAATAGACCCACCCCAGTCAATAGTCAGCTGCATCAAAGCTTGCTGCAGGTACTGTTTGTTTACTTTGCCTTAATTATCCATTGGTACAATAAATTACTTGCCAGAGATTCACAGATGACTTCAGTTTAATTTAATTAAGTCCAGTCTACTAATTTTGAGGTTACGCTACTGATTTAGTATCTACTCATTACGAAGGATTGTTCTCCATAGCTTATATCTGGAATATTTGGTTTACATTTTATATTGCATCCCATTGATCCAAACAAACTGAAAAGGTTGTTTTAATTGACCAGGATATAGGACAAATTAGGTTAAAGCTTCTTACACTGTCCAATAGATATTATAAAATCTGATTCATCAAAATTAGATAAACACGCAAACAAGCGTTGTTTCCATTACAATCATGTGTATAGCATTTTTAATGGAAATTATCTTTAAAAATGTTCCATGGCTGTATTGAGATCTTTAATGAGATGTTCCTTTTTTTCCTCGCATATTTTACTTTTTTCGTTTTTCTAACTTCCTTATTAAATACCTAGTAAAATTTGAAAGGTGGAAAGATGTTCTCAATATTTAATCAAAAATAAGGCAATATGAACGTAAAATTAAAATATCATTCATTTCAACAATGTTTTATAGACAACCCAAGGTATCTCCGGAAGTTGGAATAACGTTGTATACATTCATAGTAGCCAAACTGGACAGAACGAGACATTCTCTGAGGTAGCCACATACAGCTATTTAGAGGGATTCCGTGTACAAGACGACAGACTTTTCAAAAACCTGTTTAAAGATTTCGGGAATAGGACTCTTACTGTTGTTTCTTGGACAGTAAGTTTATTTTTTTCTCTTTTACCAATTTGGCAAATAAGCTCCTGTTCCGTTCTTTTGCATGGCAACTTAATAGCATTTGGCGAGGGGTTTTTTGTTGATAGATGATGAAATGATATATATTAAACGCTAACGTTTAAGTCAAATTTCACTGAACTATTTCAATTTAACCTGCAAAAGAAAAGTACCGCAGATATCGTGAAATTGCCTATACTTTTTAAGCTCATCATTAGAACACTTGCCCAAATCTACTAAACCCAATGAGAATTTTATGTCCTCGACGAAACTGAGCAACTAAATTTTTCTCGATGAATCTATGGCATTTCACTTCAAACTTACTAAATTTATTCTTGCAATACCTAGTGGGTTTTGTCTTCTCTGCGTTTTAAATATTTGGCTTTTAGATAAGTTTGTACGTCATTGTTGTTCCTTTTCAGAGTACTCCATTCACCATCAGAGAATTACAAGGAAACGACAGCATCCAGTATTACGGACTTTGTTATGATATTTTTAATGAATTTGCCAAAGTTTTTAACTTCAGGTATTTATTTACAATTGAATATTAACCTTGATAATGAAAAAAATGAATATATATGGATATATATAGAACTATAAACTTTTCTTTTTTATTAAATATGTGGAGATAACGCACAGTATTCAAACTCAAAAGTCCATTAAGACAATACAAATTAGGAGCAGAGCAAACACGGACCTCTAAAACATCAGAAATGGGATCATGTACCATGGTGAAGTGAGTATCCCCTGTCAACCGGATACACTCTTCGTATGTTCTATTGCATAATCAGGAAATAACGGTAAAATCCGTAGATATTTATATGAAAAACGTCAGCCAACATTTGACATTAAGATAGTAGAAGATTGCTAAATAGCGACTTTAAATGAGACTGTTGACTTTTTTGTTTCAAAAACTTTCTTGTCAATAATTGACCTCTTTTTGGAAAGTATTCTTATGTACAACATGTTCTTGTGTATCGAATCAAATGAGATATATAAACCCCGTAAGCAGATGGTAAAGGTATACAGCATAGCTGAATAAGTAAGGGAAGTTGACGATTGAAAATTTGGAAGTCACCACGTTTATCATAAAGCTTTGATGTTATATTACTATAAGCATTTTTCCCTAAAAATATATATAAATATTGAACAGAAGTGGCAGACTCTGACGTATCTTTTATTTTAATTTTGAATGAAATGAAATTAATTGAATTATAGATACGTGACGATTGACTCCGTAGATGGTACATATGGAGGTCCAACAGCCAATGGTACAAATGGTACAGGAATGGTTGGAATGGTTATGAGAGGTGTAAGTGTTATAAAATCCTATTTTTGTATGATTATTGTATTACAACTACGAGGGGTGATCAAAAAGTTCGCAAACTAATTGAATAACTTCCATACAAGAAACAATATTTGGTTTTAATGTTGTTTATATTTTAAATTAATCCTCCTCGATTTTAATGCACATCAACCACCGTTCTGCGCATGCGCGAATCACGTGATATTGGCGGTCACGTGACTCCCTCCGTAGCGTTCTGTCACAAAAGTTAAAAGATTTTTCCGAGTTTTATATTTCTTTCCATGTGAGTTAATTCTTATGACAAGAACAGTTAATTTGTCAGAAATGGTCATATCTCGGCAACAGAATGGGTGGATAATAACATCCTTTCCAAAAATAAGCATGGCGACCATTAAAACACAAATCTTCTGTCTCAGGAGAGACCTTTATTCAAGGTGGATAGAGAATGGGTGCATTCTTTTTATCATATCTAATATAAAATCTAAAGTAAACGATATCTTAGGTATTTAATACTTATATCATTGTTCAAATATTCAACTATTTTTCAAAGTGCTAATGGGAGGTCTTTGATAGCAAATTGCTTAATCAAAAATACATATCTTTTCAAACTTGCTTTCACTGGGCAAGATGACAAGTATCATTTTTAACCATCAGCCTTCCTTCACTAAAACGATTAATCCAATCATTAATTGAATTTATAGGAACTCATTTATCTCAATAAACTGTGTACAAATTATTATATGATACGGTAGAGGGATTTCTAAGATATTACAATAAATTGTACAGTCGTTTGGTGAACGAATTCGACTGAGACAACCATTTTTCGTCACAAGTGACCTAAATCGTGACGTCATTTTGACATTGTGACGTCACAAACAAGGAGAGAAACTTTATTCAGCATATGCTATTTATAGGCCTTGTGTATGGCTATGTGTGTACCGAATTTCATTCTAATCTGAATTGTGGTTTTGTAGATATAGAGATAGTTTGCGAACTTTTTGATCACCCCTCGTATAGAGAAAATACAATTTAATCGGAAAATTTTGATAATGATTTTAGAAAGGGATAAGACAAATGACAGATAAACATACCAATTTTTATTTTTAACGATATCATATGAATATAAAATATATGAATTATAAAGAAGTCGAATTGTAAGTATGTACTGAATGAAAATTAATTCAGACTGTATATGTGAAAGCACAAATAAAATCTAAGGATTAAAAGAAGAAAGAAATAGACCTCTGCTGAGATGTTAACAAATGTACTTTACTTATGACTTACATTGTAATTTGAATGAATCTGTGTTATTTGTGTAATGCATTATGCTGAAATCGTTATTTTACAAAGTTTAACGCTTTTGTTTTAGGAGGCCGATATAGGGGTAGGACCGTTTACTGTTACCGCCTCGAGAGAAACAGTTATTGACTTTCTAACACCCTTCCAAGAAGAAGGGGTTGGAATAATCATGAAAAAGGCTGATCAAAAAGCTGACCTGATGTTTCGGATGTTTCTACCATTTCAGTCTACTTCTTGGATTGCTACTGGAATATCTATTGTGGTTACAGGAATCATATTGTCTATTGTGTCCAGACTGAGTCCGTACACAAGAGAAGCAGATAAACCTGTTCATCAAAATGTTTGGCTTGGCTTTGGAGCCTTCTTTGGTCAAAGTATGTTTTCATCACTATCTTATCAATTTAAGACCCGTGTACAAAAATTTCTGATGACCACTGCTTTGCACAGTTCACTGGATATATTTGCAAATTCTGTGTATTATATATATCTGTCTTTTCGGAACCCTAAAAGCTCATGTTTTGTTTATTATATAACAGATACATGTAAATAAAATTGTGTCTCATCTAAGGGTTATAAGCTATCTACACCTTTGTAGCTTATTGTCATTATCGCCCAACTTCTATAACATACCATGAATGGTATTAAATATTCTGAGAAAAAGCTCTAAATTAGTTGTTGAAAGTCTATTGTGTACTCCATTAAGCAAAGACTCAATGTTTATTCCTTATTTCAGTTGGTGGAGACTCAACTCCTACATCAGCCTCAGGTAAAGTGGTGCTCGGTATTTGGTGGATGTGTACAATTCTAATTTTGGAACTGTATACTGCAAACTTGGCAGCGTATCTTACAATACCACCAGCGAAATCGCCAATTAAGAATCTTGAACAATTGGCTGCATCATCTGATTACAAGCCATTAGTCAAAACGGGTTCGAATCTCGATTTTCTTTTCAAGGTAAATTTGACACAAAGGTTCTGCTTGCTAGTATAACCTATCTTATTTATCAAATGTTTTCATCTTTTTCCTTCAAGTATCTAATTTGTATCAATTTTTAACAGAGAGCAAAAGGTGGATTATACAAGCAAATAAGAGAAAAGATGGACGACATGCCTGTTATTAAAACTACAGAGGCAGGATACGACTTGGTAAAAACAGGAACATACGCCTACATGACAGACGTGTCCCAACTTACGTATAAAGTTTTAAAAGATTGTCAAAATATGTTGGTTGCTGAAGAGACTTTTAATAAAGCAGGACTATCCTTCATCGTTAGAGAAGATGCTGAATTCAAAACAGCATTCAATTTACAGTAAGTACAGTTGAATCTTATTCTCTCGAAATTCGAAAGATCGAATACCATGAATGAGTAGAACTGAGTTAAAAGTCCTAACCACTTGTTTTATGTATTTTAATCTTGGTATTTTAAATAATTAGTTATTTCCAAAAAAAAAATTAATCCGTTCAGGTGGGACATAAAAAAAGAGAAGTTACATAAAGATGGTATTAATTGCTTCAATGCACATCAAAAACATATTTTGAAATTTCTTTATTACTGAAAAGTATGATTGTAATTTTTTTTAGTATGATTACAATGATAGAGGCAGGTTTAATTGCCAAATTTCGCTCCAAATGGTGGCCCCTTGGAAGCGAGTGTGACGCACTACATTCGAAGAAAACTGCCACAGAACTACAGATAGACAGCATGGCCGGAATTTTCATTGTTTATGGCGCATTTACTGGACTTGCAATACTCGCTTTCGTCACAGAAATTTTATTCTCATGTTATATTTATCCACTTTTAAGACAGAAGAGGATTCAATCTGCTGAAAAAATTTCCTTGAATGATTCTTCATAATCCCACCGGTGTTTTTCTCTAACATTATGTATTGTAGTGTACTGTAGAGGTTATTTTATATCTAATGTATAGATCTTTTAACGACAAATATATGATTGCGCCCATGGGAAAAGGGCCCTTATGGCAATTTTTATACATTTTGAGTTTTTCACGGATTTTGATAGAGTAAGGCTAGAAGTTGTCAAATATGAAATTTTATGGTCCTATCTCTACTCTAAGTAGGTTTTTTCTTCATTTTTATCAAAGATACTTTAAGAGGAAAATATAATGACGTCATGTTTTTCAACAACGTCAAACGTTTTCAGAGTGAACGTAAAATGATTTTCTTCTGTAATTTTACTTTGGTAATTCATGGTTGTGTAATATTTATATTTACCCATTCACATTATCTTTATCTCATTGTCTCTTTTAATAATTATTCAATAGCTATATATATATTAACGATTCATTAGTGGTGTATAGTATTATGAGTGAGTGTTTTACATTTCACTTTTCTATGACACCAGGGGGAGACCTGAACAGCGGGCGACATCCATTCAGTTTTTTGAACAATTATTTTCTCAAACAAAATATTTACATCTAGTAATCCATGCATGAGTCATTTGATAAGCCTGTAGAATTCATTAGAAAATCATTTTAATTTAAAACATTGCTCTCGATAGGAAGAGCATAAAACGATTTGTCATAAATTACAATATATGTGAAAAATTAATTTAAAAAATATATCTAGAGCAACAAAACGCTACCTAAATGAAGTGAAAATTTATTAGATTGTTATTTTTTCTAAATTTCATATAAAGACCAAAAAATTGTGAAGCGTGGTAACATGTTATTACGATATATACAATAGACAGTACTTAAATAAAACGGAAATCCGGTTAATTCACTGCATTTTTAGGGTTGTCTGTTTGCAAAGGTCAAAAAATGACAATGCTGTTTGAAAAATATAAAGGATACACGGAATATTTTTCAGTCTAACAGTAAAAATATTTTTAATATTTACAGATCAAAAAGATGAAAAACTTTATAAACAAAGGAATGAATTATAACCCTCACACATTTACACAATAGATAGACCCAGGATTAACATTGATGGGATCATGTGTGTGTTGGTGAGGGGGGGGGGTTAAAATCTAAATGGCAGAAACTTACAATTCTTGTGAACACAATCCAGTTAAAATAAATAAATATTTTTTTTACTTCCAAAGTTTTAGATGCACAGGCTGGATGTCTCTCCTACACCCAGTACCATTAACCCTTCAACATGTAATTTCACTTTTTTATTTAGGTTTGAAATAATACTGCATAATATTCTTCGTTTTATATCTGTACCTTTGTTTCTGAGCATTGCCATTTTCAAAATCGCACAGCAATCATGAGCACTATGAGTCTGGAACCGAATTGTTATAAATTCAGTATCGTTAATCATGTATATAATGACACCTTAGAATAACAGAATCTGGTTTTATTTTATGAAATGGATGGTTTTAGAAGCATACCAATAGAATTTAATCAAAGATGACATTTACAAAAATTTATTAAGAATTTCGAACAAAGTGGTATTTATGTAACCCTAGTGATCTGGCTAGACTACCGCAATAGTTGAAATATAACAAACAATGTATACTGAGTGAGAATTGTCATTTATTAAATGACAATAAGTATATAACACAGATAAAGTTAAGGGGAGATCACCGGGATATTTCCTGAGTACAAAGAACAATAAATTTGGCAACGGTATCTCCCCTGTTGCAAACAAACATTACTTTGGCAAAAATATTTTGACAAATAAAAAGTATATAAACCACAAAGTTGTCAAAACAAAAAGCTGCCAATATTTTTAAACAAACAAAGTATTTAAAAAGGAAAAAATTAATAAAGATGACAAGACAAAAGTTGCACGATGGCAAGTAAGATGGTACAAGGTATATATTATGATAAATAAATTACAAAACATAATTTTGAGACTACAATGTTTTTATCATGGAGTATGAAGGGGGACGGAGGGTGGGTAAATTTCTCAAAACAATTTTGTGAATTTCTTGGCACTTCTAAATCAGTGAAAAAACGCTATCTTGTGTCACGTGATTTTTTTTCCTCATAAATTTATTAAAAAATACATCCAGTAGACAAATCAGTATACAGTGGAGCCTCATTTTTCCGGACGCTTTGGTTCCCAGTCATTTTGTTCGGATATGTGAAGCGTCCGGATACCAGAATTACCAATTAAACAAGACAAAATTACATTTACAAATTTCGTTCCAATGAAAAGTCGTCCGGATACTGAAGCATCCGAATATCTGGGGTCCGGATATCTGAAGGTCCACTGAAAATGCATCATGCAGTTTAATGTATAGATTTTGTTGGGGTGGGTGTGGGTTAAAAATTAATAACATATACCGGTAATTGTTCATGCCTAAATATACAGTCAGTTAAATATGACTGTTTTGTATAATATATTTCCTGACAATTGTCTCTGAACTGGCTGAGTTTTGAAATGTCAGATTTTAGTAGGGATGTGAGCATCTTAGAAAATTCATCATATTTTTTTATGACTGAATTGTAAAAAAAATTCCCTTCATTCTAATGATTTTGTTTTCTAAATTTTATTTTATGAAGTGAGTTTTACAGAGTATGAATTCCATTCTGGTCCCATGCCAGCAGCTTGGATATGCTAAGCCTTGTAAAGCCTTACATGTTACGGAAATATAAACGGACAACCCCACCCCCATCCCCTGCACTGTGGCCATATATCGATTGCCTATATTTTACGATTATTTTACATTGTTAATTGTATAATTTAGCTGGTAATTAAATAAAGACATTTTTGATCACTTTTGAGGGAAAAAATCAAAAAATCAAATGTGAAGTTAACGGAAAGTGTTCATATTCAAATGTATCTACATTATTATTACCTGTTCAGTTATCCACATTAAAGTCCAAAAATGTGTCAATAACTTTATATTTTGACTTTCTTTTTACGGGCAAGACGGTGTTGCATATAAAGCTAAATCAATTGAATTTTTATTTTAACACAGTGTATGTTGTGCATTTTATATTTAAAATCACTGAAAAGTTAGAGTGAAGAGAGAGGGAATCGGAGGATGGGGGTTATTAGTTTTTTAACAATTAATAAAATGTATAATCATTTAAAGAACTGTTAAAATCCCTCTTTATTTAACTAACTTTTTAAAGCCATCGTAAAAAGGGAAATGTATTGATATTTCATTCTGTTTTCTATTTCTATCCTTAATGAAAAAGATATTGCTCTGTTATTTAAAGTCTTGAATTTTGCTTACTTTATAAAATGGGTAAAGCTTTATTTAAATGGTATGTCCCGTTGTTTTTTGATCTTGACAAGGAGCACACGCGGGTATGATTGGTCGGCATAGGATGCTCACTACTCCATTGCACCTGATCCTACCTCTTGTTAAAGAGGTATATGCTTGCAATTTTGTAATTTTCGTTTTCTTCATATATTTCATTTGTTTATCAAGTATATGGGATCTACAATTATGTTGCTTGAAAAAAATCATACCGTGTGGTCTTTTACTAACTTTTGATATAAACCAGAGACATATATGATATAAACACCAGGGGTGGTTGTTTTTATGTCTCTGGACAAAAATGATTTAAAATTTATAATTAGAAAATAATATAATGAGTACATGACAATTTATTTGTTATGTACTCATTATATGGATTTCTGATTATTAATAAATTATGAACGAAACTATCACTAAACATTTTTAAATATAACTTTAGATGATACGATCATACGATGCCATGATTTCAGAAAAATTTAGTAAATTCAAGTTTGGCTGTTTCGCAACACGTTCTCGTTTTAGCATATCAAGAATAATATATTTAGATATACAATACATAAAAATAGTAAATAGTATAAATAGATAAAGAGATAGTTGATGTTTTCAAACGTCAAAAAAATATGAAGGGGATTTTAAATGTCTTCCATTTTTGGCCCTCTTGTTTCTGTTCGCTTGACGTCATACTACGCAAGAATACAACTGTGTAACAAATTATCTTATTCTGTATTTGTACTTATAGGTAGTTTTTTATGTAAAAGATGAAAATAAAACAAATCATTCCGCCATTACTTAGAATTCGATAAATAAGAGACAACATGAGTCTCCAAAATGTTTTTTTATACTCTAGGTTTTGTTAAAGTGATGTTATGACTGTGTTTCTTGTCGCCATTTTGTCAATATCTTCATTGACGTCTGCTCAGCCTTTTCCATTTCATCTAGGTGAGTTTTTTTACGTGATTATATCGGTATTTTTGGATAATGATGTCTTGACATTTTAAATTGTTTTGGTTTATATCATTACAATACACAATGTATATAATAACAATTTGATCGACTTAGAGCATGTTGAGTTTGATTTCTCTTTGTTTTCTCCCTATTTTATAACTGCAGGACAATAAATTGTTTCGTTTTCAATTATGATTTTTATCTTTTTCCAGATATCCTTGTAGATGAAGACGAAGCTGAGCGTATCTATAATATCACAAATGAATTCTTTAATTCCACTCGCCTTGGAGTGTGGGCATCTATGGATATAAGTCCAGTCACTTTTGTCGTAAACACGAAAAATGAAACCCCTGGCATTTATAGTGAGTAAAATTGTAACAAGTAATTCCTCATTACAAAGCCAAATTATAACTTTACGATTGATTAAATATTCCATCGATTGATGTCAATGAAAAACAAGCAAAATTTTAAGATGACAACTATGATTACATTGCCCCTTTTCCCTTTAACCACTTAGTTTGTAATTTTTGGAGTGCATTTTTAAGTTAAAATATCTTTTGACCATTTTTCCTACTAGGTTTCACTGAGAAAAACAGTTCTTCCTCGTCATATATTGATATGAAAAGAAATCCCTCCGATCTTTTGTGCATATTAGCAAAAAGCATAGGTGTAGCTTATATTCGGACTCGCCCTGGAAGGTCCAGTATTTGTCGTCCCAGCATACGGATAAGACCATCAGTGACCGAATACATGGACATTGCCCACCAGATCTATAAGTATAATGATAGCGAATTCACATCGGTCATTTATATTACGGACCACATGTATGGTAAGCCCAGCAAAAAGTTATTTTCATGTTGCAATGTGACGATTTGTTGAAAGAAAATATTTACATGCACACCATCAAGGATTGTTAAATAAGGCAATTGTCGAAGTACTGCAAAAATCTTTTTAAAATAATTTTGTCATTATATTGTTTCAGATTTCGATCTTAGCATTTTTCAAAAGAGATTCAATTCCACCTTGAAGATGATGATGTTTACAATTCAAAATAGCAGTGTGCCATCTCAAATAAAGCAGTTTGTTACGGATGGCAACACAGATTCTTTCATCATGTTTGCTTCTGGTGCCATTATAAGGAATTTGTTACAAATTGTGAGTTACGTCGTGACTTAAGATATCTTAATAACGATGGATTCAAAGGATGTTTAATTTCATTTATTTTTTATTTGGGGTTTTTTGGTAGCTTTCAAACCTGAAGAATTTAACAGTGACAAGGACAGATAACTGGGTGATGATTCCATCAGACGAAACAGAATGTCCGGATATTTTGGGTTTGAATTTCTCAGTCGTGTGTGTTCGACACGATTTCGTGAAAGATCCTGATGTCACCGTCGACTTAAGATATGTAAATGGAAACTTAAGACTTATGTACAAAATGGAATGTGTTTTAATCTACTTTTATCTATTAAAGAGATTTTAAACATCAAAGATTGACTCGTAGATGTAAGATAAGATAAAGGATACATAATCACATCAAAACTTTTGATTATCTTTTATTCAAATGTCAAAAAACATTAATTTTAGGTGGATGACGCATTATTGCTGAGAAGTCTCCATTTACTTGAGAAAAATATCAAAGCTTTATCCCTCCCTTTTATTCAAATGTACCTTGACTGAGGTAAACATTTTTTAAATATTTAATCATAATTTTTGAAAAAAAGAAACTTACACTAATTGCATAAAAGTGCAGTTAAATATTTGCATTTTGAATTTGATATTTAATCTTTTGTTTTAGACGTCAGCTTTGAGGCACCTGGCATGGCATGTTTACAATGCAACTAAAGAAATTAAGTTGGACGACGATTTAATGAGGATCGATAAAATACGAACAAAAGCAAAAGTACAAACGCAGTTGCTTTGTTTTAAATAATCGCTGTAACTTTTTTTTTTTTTTTTTACCCTGTAGAGTATGTTAAAATATTTAAAAAAAAAAACAAAAAAACACCAATTTCTGAGACGTTAATGAAATAATCAGAAATATATGAAATATGCATTTGTAATATTTTTTCTTTTTGGTTTCTTGTCGACAAATATCTTACTTTTTCAGATAGGAACATGGACTCGGTCTACAGACGTGGTTTTGATTACACAACCTTTCGCCTTCACCCATGCATCATTATTAACAGTCATCACTATCCATGTAATCTGGGTTTTTTTTCAATTCTGCTTTCAACATCAAATCTGTCGCTGATGTTTCTTTCTTCTCTCTCTGTATTTAAACCTTAGAACAATGAATATTTTATGTATACCGATATATTATATAAATTCCTTTTGACTTTGCTCTGTGTGTGCACTGTAGCGACCGCTTTATAATAGAATATATATGAAGAAACGTTGCAAGCAATGCTTATTGGCATAAATCATTGCATTTTTTAGAGGTTGCATCATTAAGAGGTTGAGAATCAACTTTTAATGCAATAATTTATTACATTAAGCGTTGCATTGCATTGCCTTTTATCATTAGCGGTTGCCACGGTGCATACATTTGACCATATAAAATCTTTTTCAGGAGCCACCATTTGTAGTAAAAGTTGTGAACAAGAGTGGGACATTCTTTCAAGGCTATACCATTGATGTTCTCGATAAGATTGCTGAGGAGGTAGGATTCACGTACGTGATCCGTGAAGCACGTGACAATCTGTACGGTCTCGCTCTTCCGGATGGTTCCTGGACGGGGCTCATAGGAGAGGTCCAAAGAGGGGTAATGTAACATGTTATCGGCTCATAGGTAAGGTAAAGAGGGGTTTTTTTTCATTAAAATTATTCATAAAAAGAAAGAGGGTTAAATTTTAGTATTTTAAAGAAATAAAGTCTTTAAGCGGTATATATATTTGTTACATTAATCATCTTATCTATAACCATGATAAATGTGAGATACGTTCAAAATTTAGATTTACATTTAATGCAACATATTTTAAACATACGTACATTATAAGCCACAGCGTTCTTATCTTTATAAAATTGTGAATTTTAAAAGAAAAGATAATTATATTTTAAATTTTGTCTCGCAGAATATGCCAAAAATGTTTGCATTCTATAAAAAATAAGATTTTTTTTCCTGTACATATAAATGATAAGCATTAAGTATTTAGGGTTTGATTAGGGCTAGTTCAGGAGGCCTAAATGTTAGGATGTTAGAGTTAGGGTTAGGGAATTAGGGTTAGAGAATAAGGTTGAAGTAAAGAACTTTTTAGATGTTAGGATTAGGTTAAATATATACATATTTATTAAGTTTACAGATAACTAATGAACACAATAAAGAAATTTAAATCAGAGAACTTGTCCAAAAAATTGATCAAATAAGAAATATACTTCAACAGGAAGCCGATCTGGCTGCCGCCCCCGTGTCTGTAACAGCCGAGAGAGAACAAGTGATTGATTTTACCAACCCTTACTATGATTATGCGGGTTTACAGATCCTGATGAGCGGCACCATTGCTTCTAGCTCAATGTTTGGATTTGTGGACGTCTTTGACGGGCCTGTGTGGCTAGCCTGGTTCGGTTTCCTTGGTCTGACGGGTATTATGCTTTATGTGTTTCACATCCTGGTCTACCGAGTGTTTTCCAAAGAAAAGGAAAAAGATAAGGACAAGGTGTTTACTATCAGCGACACACTTTGGTTTCTTATATCTTCTATTACCATATATGGTAAGCATAAGCAGAATCCTACGCGTTAATTTATTTACATGCAATATTTTTCAAACATACTTTAATTGTTTTTAAATCCTTTTGAATTGGGAATTGATACACAATTTGTTTTAGGGCCAGACAAAACCCCCGGCACATTTGCAGGAAGGGTGTTAGTAATTGGATTCTGGTTCTTTTGTCAAATAATGATGGCGACATACACAGCCAACCTTGCTGCATTTATGACATCCAAACGTCTAACAACTGAAATCCATTCCATAAACGAGCTAGCCTCTCAGAATTCTATTAAATATTCTGCATTAGCTGGGTCTGTCAGTGAAGCTTACTTTTCCCGTATGAAAGGCATTGAAGAGAACTTCTTCGAGCTGTGGAAGAATATGAGTTACGCGAAGAGTAACGATAGAAATGACCTCACTGTGTGGGACTATCCCCTCGATGACCTTTATTCCAGAATGTTTTCTCAAATCAATGAAACGGGTTTTCTCAAAACATCTAAGGAGGGCGTGGATCGTGTTCTTTCGGAAGGATTTGCATTTATCCACGAGACACCGATGATAAAGTATGAAATGACAAAGTACTGCAATTTGATCACCGTCGGAGAGGTTTTTAGTGCGAAACCTTATGCATTTGTTCTACAGGAAAATTCGCCCCTAAAGGACGCATTCAATGCAAAGTATATAATATAATATTAATGTTCTATCTTGTGCCTTTAATATTTTTTAAATAAAAAAGAACGGTGTTTTTGGTGCTTATTTTTTTTAATACGTGCGAGTAAATGTTTTACTACGAGAATGGCAGATAACTTAATATTGCTTAGTGTTTGAAAGAAAATCTTTAGATTATTAATCTAGCTGCAAACAAAGAGCATGTACGATACACAGTTTAGTAAGAAAATCTTGATTTATTTTTTCTGTTAGAATACTTGAACTTCAAGCCGATGCATACTTTGAACAAAGGAAGGAGGTGTGGTGGTCTAAATCGGTATCGTGTCCAAAGGAAGACGATTCCACCACGGGACTCCCCTTCAAGAACCTCAGCGGAGTCTTCATCCTAACAGGAGCGGGGTTCGCCACGGGGTTCCTGATGCTTGGAATTGAATGTATTGTGTTCAAATGGAAAAAGAGAAAGGTGACATTTATATTATAAAGATTGCTGAGTTAAATAATTTGATGTGTTATATGTGGACATCTTAAATTAGCTAAGTGTTTTTCTTTAACAGGAATCGCGTGAAAAACCACCTAAAGAGGCATACAGCAAACCTAAGTACCCCCTCATACCCCGCCTAACATCGCTGAGGTCATTGTTCATGAAAAGCAAGAAAACAACATCAACCATGGATCTAACTATTTCGGAGGTGGATTAATGATATACATGTACATGTACTGTAAAATACTTGACCAGGTTGTGCGTGGGATATTTTTATTATATATCTAATATGAAAAAAAATACTGTTCAATTTGTTGATTAGTCTAATAGACAACTGGTGCTTTTGAACGTATGACCGTTTTATCGATCCCTTTGTCTCATTGATTACTTTTATATTTACAAAGTTTTGTAGATAAAAAAAATTTCTATGTCTAATGATTTATTGCTCAGTAAAATTTGAAATGGGGCCTTGTAAATCTTTATTGAAAATATAAGGCGCTTGTTCTATACCTGTTGATAAACGTTTTGTTTGTTTGTTTGTTTGTTGTTTAACGTCCCTCTCGAGAATTCTTCACTCATGTGGTGACGCTACCACCTGCCGATGGAGAGGTGCAATTTTTTTCTATATTCGGCACTTACGGCCATTGAGCAGTAAGGGATCTTTTCAGTGTCAGCACCAACTGCGACACGGGACCCCAGTTTACACGCTCTCTTCCGAAGGAGCGGTCTCCACGTCCCACAGTGAGAGTTGAATCGGATCGACTACTTACACCCACGGGCACCGGACGGATGGAGGGGGAGGGTGTTACACCATCCATTCGCCAGGTGCCTGTGCTCTAGAGCAGACGCTACGCTAAATGTAGGCGAATGTTGTTAAAAGTGATATATTGATTGATTGATTGTTGTTATTTAACGTCCCTTCGAGAATTTTTCACTCATAATTATTATGGGGACGCCACCACTTGCCGGTGGAGAGCTACAATTTTGTCCTATACTCAACACTTAGGGCCATTGAGCAATGAGGGATCTTTTTTATGGAACGCCGTAACTGCCTTATGTGGAGAACTTTCATTATATGCTGGTACTTTGTCATTATATGCTGGTATTTTATCATTATATGATGGTATTTTGTCATTATATGATGGTGTTTTATCATTATATGATGGCACTTTGTCATTATATGCTGGTATTTTGTCATTATATGCTGGTATTGTATCATTATATGATGGTACTTTGTCATTATATGATGGTATTTTGTCATTATATGATGGTATTTTGTCATTATACTTCTTTTCATTATACTAATTTTCATTATATGCTACTACTTTTTCGTCATTATTTGTAGTCTCGATCGGCCAGACGCTTGTCTATAACACAAATTCGCTGTTCCTAGACTGCATGGCAGTACGAAATCGAGGATCAGACAGGCAAGCCAGTCTAGGTATCATAACAGTATTTCACTTGGGTTCACTTCAAATCATGGCTGACGCAAAATAATCCCGGAATCTTCCATTCCGATTCGGGCATTTTGATACGAGGCTGGAGCTGAATTTTTTATGACATGAAAAACAACATGTAAACTCCTGTATTTACCAGATTTATTAAAATTTAGTGCGTGCTGATTTTTCTATATACTGTCAAGAGTGGGAGTGATTAGGCCCTGGACTAGATTTTCAAACACCTGCTCGACTTCGACCGAAACAAAAAAATCAGTTAGGTCATTCAAAACATTACTTGAAAAATGCTGGCCCCGGGATCTTGAAACATCTTAAGCTTAAGTCGATCAAAATCTTTATTTTATAATAAAATGTTGTAAAGTCAAGCAGACCAGAATTAAAATATTTTTAGTATTGTTTCACAGAGATGTTGTTATGTGCAAATGAAGATATTAATTCAATAATTAAATATTTTATCGTCTATTAAAAAATTGACTTAAGTCTTAGTTTGTTTTTATGATCCTGGAGCCATGAGCTTACATTCAATGTTCTTTGTTCATTATTGTATACAATATTGTTTACGCATGGTCTCTTGAAGATATAATATCGAACGAAAGAAATTATATAACATATTATTTCTGTCCGCTTTTTGAATTTAAGCAAACCACGTCAGACAAGCTTTTAAGGAAAGCTAATACATAGCCATCCAGCAAGGCAAGCAAGTTTGTTTAGGTCGCAGTCGAGCAGGTGTTTAGCTCCAGTCTCGTATCAAAATGTCCGAATCGGAAGGGAAGATTATTTTGCGTCAGACATGATTTGACGTGAACCCAAGTGAAATACTGTTATATGTGTGACAGGATATGGTTTTACCCTCAAACCAAGGTACCACTCACGGCACCAATGTGACAGGATTTGGTTTTACCCTCAAACCAAGGTACCACTCACGGCACCAATGTAACCGGAATTCGCTACATGGTATCAATGCAATTTAGGAAATTCCACGATACCAGTGTAGCGAAAATGACCGTATAAAAATACCTCTTAAATATCACTCACTTTCTTTATCAATAATAGTACTTCGCGTTTTATTCCAATTTCTTACTAACCAATAAACCTCTTGATTTTCAAATAGTCACGAAAGTGACTTACTAACCCAAGAATTTTAATAACAAGAGTTTGCAAATTAACAAATATTTATTATGGCCACAAATGTATTTTATTAACAGCACAAAATTATTTACATTATATATTTACAACGAAAACTGATGTACTAACGACCTTATACTTATGAGCCTCAATAAAGATAGTGCCTACCTAACAAATGTACAATGTCCAGAGCCCGTCCTACCCAATGCTAAGTCCAATGGAAAGTGACCCACCCCTGCACAAAAAATCTACTATGCCTAACCTAACCGGTTTACCAAAAATAGAAATAAGGAACTGGAAATTAACAATGGAAATGGACGTAAAAATAAGGAAAACAAAATGTACAACTTAAACGAGTGAACGAGACAGAGACAGGGACCGGGATCCACCCCTCTAATCAAAAGTGCGCTGGTACGAACCTTTGAAAAGGTTCCAGACCGACTGAAGTACAAGTAAAATAGTGGACTTTAAATACACCGCGATACGGAGGTTTGTCTCTCTTATCCAATCAAAATCTGCATTATATGTATAAACCATACAAGGGCGTTACCCAAATCACTGTATAAAGCTAGAAAGTTTCGGAATGTAAACGATCGTAACCAATAAGAATTATCGTTATTTACTAACTCAGTAAAATCCAATCCTACCACATTTGATACCTAGACTGGCTTGCCTGTCTGATCCTCGATTTCGTACTGCCAGTCTAGAAACAGCGAATTTGTGTTATACACAAGCGTCTGGATGATCGAGATTATAAATAATGACGAAAAAGTAGGAGCATATAATGAAAAGTAGTATAATGAAAAGTAGTATAATGAAAAGAAGTATAATGATGAAAAGTAGTATAAAGAAAAGTAGTATAAAAAAGTAGAATAATGAAAGGTAGTATAAAGAAAAGTAGTATAATGAAAAGTAGTATAATGATGAAAAGTAGTATATAATGAAAAGTAGTATAATGAAACGTAGTATACTGAAAAGTAGTATAATGAAAAGTACTAGCATATAATGACAAATTACCATCATATAATGACAAAGTACCATCATATAATGACAAATTACCAGGATATAATGACAAAATATCATCATATAATGACAAAGTACCAGCATATAATGCAAGTTCTGCGCATAAGGCAGTTACGGCGTTCCATACTTTTTCGTGCCAGCACCTACTGCGACACGGGACTTCGGTTTATATGGTCTCATCCGAAGGACCGGGCTCCACGTCTCACAGTGGGATTCGAACCCGCGACGTAAGGATTGACTCCTTACTTCGCGACTCTAGAGCAGACGCTCTAACCACTGCGCCACAAGGGCGACAAAAGTGATATAATGTAATCTGCTAAGATTTAAAAGTGTAAATTGCAATTATTTATTTTTATTTAAGCCAGAATTTTTAAATATTGTTATTTTAAAATTATTTATTTTTTCTGTAGATATTTTTAAGAAAAAAATATCAGAAAAAAGCATTAAACTAAATACTGTTTAAATACTGTATTGATTTCACAGTGTCGCTATGTACATTGTACGCCTTTGGTGACTTATCTCTCTTTAATTTGTAGATTTTTTTTCAGAATTTTGCTTCGAATGGTCATTGTTTCGTTTAATTTTCATCTCTGGCGCATAGTTTAACCTCTGGCGGGTGTAAAAATGCAGGGGAGCGTCTGTGGTTCTATTGGGGAACCTACGACGGGCTAATTAAGCACTAACCTTTGTAACGAAGTAACCACATAACTAAGGCCTGCACTCAAATCAATGTTGCTAATATTGATAGCGACTATTTTATTCTTACACCCAATCGTTAACATTTTTTTAATCAGAATACAAAATTACTGCTTCGATTCTCTGCTAATAGTACGTAACAAAAAATGGTCAGCTTTATCATGTTTATCGCCTTTAAAAAAATAATAACATGAAAATGTAAATATTTTGTTTGGATTAAGGTCGCATTGGGGTTACCTCGATATTTAGGCATACAGTACTTCTTTGGTTAAGTGCCGATTGTCGGGTCAAACGTGTACTTAGTATAAGCCCTTTAAGGTGAAATACAATCTGCTCAAAATTTTCAACATTTTTTTTTTATTTCGAAAATTCCTAACTTTGATTTCTCTTCAATAACAACAGCATCAGAATCCATGGCAAATAGTTGAAGTAGAATTTATTTATTCCTCACCATTCTAATTTTAATGTATATCTTTTCGTTCAAAATTTACACTAAAAAATAAATAAATAAATTCTAAATAAGTGAGATTATAATTGATAATAAGAAATGTGAATACGCAGTATTTTAATTGGATTTTTGCATCTTTTGATTTAAAAAAAAAAAAAGATAAATGAAAGTTGATGAACTGCGTTATTTAAAGGACGTTGGATTTTTTAACAACAGGAAATGGATTTCTATGTTGCAACTAGATGGAAGGTTTCTTAATGTTTGGAAATTACTCAATAATGATGATTTTAACTTTTTTTCAACACCAGACTACAATTAAATACACCTCTCGTTTGATCGTAATTTAGATCTTTGGGTCTTTTTGTAATGACTCTGTGTCAACGATTGCTCTTATTATACAATATAACACGCTTTTGTTTTAATATTTTGTAGATAAAAAAGTCATTTTTATGCATTTTGAAAAAATTCCAATGAAGAACTAATAAATATGGATGTTATATTTCAAATTCGTAAAGATACTTCGGATATAATGATATTTACCCGATGTTGATTAAAAACTGGTGATAAATTCATTCAAAGTAACATGTGTTTCATAAAACTTGGTGCAATGTTATGAACTAACAGTTCAAGTAATTAATTAATGAGCAAGGAATTGCTTCTTTTTTTTTTTGGTTCAAGACTGTATATATTGTTTTTAAAAAAGGGGGGGATCGAACA